TATGTGATTAAGTAATCAAGTATACTTCTATTGACAAAAAATGCAGCATCTGTGGCATGTGCGAAAAAAATATTTGCTTTCATACTATAAAATAAATCGCTATATAATAATAATAATATAGAGAAGACATAATATGTCATGCATTATTTTTAGTACTTTAGCTAAATTATATGTAATAATATTTAACAATATTTTCAAGATCTTTATTTAAAAGTTGTTTTATTGGTCTGGAGGTAATAAAATTGAGTTTATATCTCACAATTCTAAGTTTATATCTCATAATTGTGTGTGTATGTCTCGCAATTCTGAGTTTATATCTCATAATTGTGTTTATATCTCACAATTCTAAGTTTATATCTCATAATTGTGTGTTTATGTCTCGCAATTCTGAGTTGAAATCTATAAAAATGTACAGTCGTGGCCAAAAGTATTGGCAGTGACATAAATTATGTGTTTTGCAAAATGTGCTACTTCAGCTGTGGTGGTGTTCATTCACATTGTTTCTACAAGTTTTGGCAGTGACATAATCTAGAAACAATGTGAATGAACACCACAACAGCTTAAGCAAAACACAAAATTTATGTCACTGCCAATACTTTTGGCCATGACTGTTTTTGAATATACACGATGCACTTCGAAATCTTTTGTATCAAAGCCTGTTCTCACCATGGAATAAAACAATTATAAAAGGTATTAGTGACTTTTTATCTCACAGTTTTGACCTTTTCCAGAATTGCGAGAAAACTGTCAGAACTGTGAGATTTACTTTGATCAGGCACTGACACAAGTATGTGAAATAGCTCTGTCAGTGATAGAGCACTTCCAAATCAGTGTTTGACACTGAAGAAGGCTACAGCTTTATCAAACTCTAAACTGAGACTAAACATATGTGGTCTAGTTTATAGCCAGCCATCTCAAAGGAACAGGACGTCTGCATGGTTGAAGAATGATATTTGATGTTTAATCACAGTAAGATGCTATAAAGTAGATACACTCTCAGAAAAAAGGTACAAAATCTGCTTTTTAAAAGCTACACCTTTGTACCTTATTTACCTCTCATTGTGTGTATAAGCACATCAAATGTTCATATTAGCACCTAAAGTGCACATATAATTACCTAAATGTTACATATTAGTACCTTTTAAAAAGGTACTGCCCCAGAGATGGCTTTTGTACCTTTATTTTTGAGAGTTTAGGGACTTACTGTATGTGAAAGACCTTTAGACAGCTACAGTATATAACAAACTAACAATAGCATGATGCTATACAGTTCACCAGACTACCGCAGAACACTCTGTAATGTTCATGTTTCGTCAAGAACATTCCATGTAATGCTAGAAGTTAGACACCACTGTATTACATGTCACAAAGACAGATTACATCATAAGTCTGATGCAAGTTTGTAAACGCAAGCTGTCCAAGTAAGGAAAGATATATTATTATTGTACCACTTACTAAATCACTAGACAAAACGCAGCCACACCTCAACCCACCTGGTCAAAACAACACATTTATCGTAATCCCATAAATGAGACAAAACAATGACACTGCATCAAGAAGACGGACAGACTAGACAGAACTTTCAGTCCATTAAAAAATACGATGTTGTGTTATCTGAACTGTCAGTATCAAAAAATGACGAGCAAATCAACAAAAGTTGGTTTAGGATAAATTCAAAGTAAATAAATTATGACTTAATATATTTACCTGAGTAAATCTACAGGTACTACCGCAGGGACGTCCTGTGACTGTGTGCGCATCGGGTGTTTCCATAGAAGGCAAAGCAGCATTTAGACAAGAGAGTCGAGATCAGCCAAGTTCAACACCACACCTCAGCCCAAGAGAACAACAAAGACACACAACACACACCTGTAAAATGACACGCACCCAGCAGAAAACAATGTTCATGCCTGTAATGGGAGAGGATTAAAAAATCTATTTCGAAAGAAGTTTGTGAGGATTCTGCTCGGGGCATCAGAACAACAGGCTATTCATTACAACAGAGCTTTACATACCAAAACTCTCAGATAACACGCCATCGCTCTTTTAAATGGACGCATATAAACATGCATAAAAATATGCATGCAAAGTCTCTGGCTGATGGGAATGATCATTACTTAGACATTATATAAGAGCTCTGTGAGATTTGCATATGTTGTGTACCACGGAAATAGAAAAAGCAGAGAGGCGTTGGCACCAGGGTATTAAGAAAACAAACAGACGCTTAATAACAGATGGAGTGCAATGGCGATTGTTCACTGGAAATCAAACCAGGTCAGAGTGAAACCTGAATGCAGGTGTGAGGTACAAAGCAGAGAGACAGAAAGAGAAGAGCTTCAGGAGAGAGACAGGACATAGAGAAAGGGATGGGTGAAAAAGAGTGGGGGGATTGTTTGAGAGCCTTGAGTGGAATGTGTCATTGGATACAGACCTCTGGACCTCTCAAAGAGACAGACAAAAGACTTGGCTAATCACACAAGCGTTTTTTCCTTGGTAAGATGTAAAGGACACGTGAGAAATCTGAATAGCTGCTGGTAACCTGAGACTGTATATAGACAATACTGAATCTGAGTGAACTGAAACATTAATAATGGCACCATTAATCATATTAGAAAGGAAAGAATTGGGATTTTTAAAAATATATATTAATAGGTTATGAAATGCCAAATGTCATTGAATGAATGAGTGGATAGATAAATAAATAACATTTTTGATCCCACAATTGAGGGTGGAAGTTTTATGTTATATCAATATTCAATGAATTTTATCAATATATTAATGAATTAATTAATTTGCTGAAGTTTTTTTTAATGGACATATGTACCTAAATGTTGTTCATAAATGTTTTGCTTTATCAAAAGTATCTGCATATGGTTGCCATACCCCTTGGGCCTTTCTGTTCCACATTAAGGGGCCTTTTATTCCACACTTCGGAGTGAAAGCTTTATGTTTTCCTGTCAATATTCAATTACATTTTTTATATTTTTGAATCTTTTGAGACCAGAAAAACAATCACATTTTCCTCGAGGGGGCTTTAAATAAATAAACAATAAAAATTTAAATAAATAAATAGGCTAGGTAATTAAAAAAAATGAAATTAGTAACAAACAAATGAGTTTATGTCTTAATAATCATTAGTGTACTTAAAAGTGCGTCCAGCGTTGTCATGACACGACAAATCACAAGTCAATTTCACCACAGTATTCTATGGAACTATGTCACCTCAAGGCAACTCAACCAAGCCAAGCTTTCACATAGTGTACATATTTGTTACTACTGTATTGTAAATACTGTATATCACCCCAGGAATAGACACACAGAGGGCTAATGACTATCAGTGCAATCTGCTTCATAATATAAACTTGATGAGAGAGGCAAAACTTGTACTTTCACAGAAGCCACATAAAGAGTGAGTAAATACAAGGTATTGAACAAGGGAGCGGTAAATGAGCAAAATAAATGGAGTATATGGAGGAGAGTGAAAGTAAATATACAGACACAGCTGGTTGAACAACAGTTTAAAAAAATAGTTTTAAAAAGGTGGAAACGCCTTACATAACCTGAGGTCATCCGACTAAACTTGCTTTTGTTGGCTTTAACTCCACACGAAAAAGGGGGAGCTTTTTTGCTTTTTCTTCTCCAAACCAATTTAAAAGTATAAAAGTGAAAAAGTGTCAACTTTTTTCTTTTCACCTTCATCTACTAGAACTGCTTGAAATCATTAAAAGTCCTTTCAGAGGTAAATCTGTAAGTGCGTGACTCTCTAAAGAATGCATCTTAAATGCTCTTTAACCTAAGTCCATTAAAGAGCTTCCTGTTAAATTATGTCCTGTTTTCATATTTGCAAATGAAAAACATGCAAAAACAGTAGCTGCTGAAAAACAGGCTACAATATGGTGCATTATCAAGTCAGGCTTTTGAATCAGTCTGAATGACCATCATGTTAAAGAAGGAAGGAAACCTTCCACAATCAAGCAAATACTTGAGACTTGTCTCACTTCCTATACCTTCTTGCCCACTTTGCACGCAGAAAGCTTGACATATATTCTTTGAGGGTATACAAACAGTAAGGGCACAAGGCTGCCAGTGCCCAGCAACCTGGATGGAAAGCTCAGGTTAATAATCATCTAACTCGGCATAACACTTTTTATATACAGTGCTGATTGAACAGACACAGACACAGCTGGTATTTGGCTTAACTATCCCCTTTGCTGGCACAAATGCCTCTTACAGGTTATTAGGGAAACCAAATTTCAAGTAAGTGACATTAAACCAGATTAAGCATCTGTTGTGCATACAGCGAAGGGCAAGGGGTGGTAAAGGAGGTTTAGTGCAGCTTGCCACAGTAAATACTGCTAATAAAGTGTCACATTTAAACTGAGATAATTTGGTTTTACAAACGTCATATTGACGATATAATTGAATGAATGAAGCACTGGACCATACAAATGAGAAGCTCCCAATCGGCAACGCAGGGCGTTTAATATTTTACCAGGAAGATACGTTACAGAGGATCAAAGTTCTCTTTTATGAGTATGATGAGAAAACGACCCAGAAACCTTTGGCAACATTTGTTAACATTTTACCTTAAAACTAAATATTTTAATGATATTTTAATCAGTTTCACTAGTGCTTATTCATATTCATAGGCTATAACATATATATTCACAAACATTTTATGTGCATATTTGATTCAGATATCAACACCTGTGCAAAACTATGCAGATAAAAAAACAACAACAAAAAATGCATATTTGTTGTTTTTCTAGTTATGTTAAACAATAAGTAGTGAAAAAAGGGTACATACCATTCTGTCATCCCATCTGATATCATCAAATGTGCACATACTCCCCATTCGATTCATTTTTTAGCTTAATGTATCTAAACTCAAAAGACAATAGTATTTCAGTAAATAAAGTTAAATAAGAGCAGAAGTTGAATATCCCACTGCGCGCGCGAACTCGTCGCAGTTGTGTTTTGTTGTGTTCTGATATCGTCAGTCACGCTGAATAATGAATAGCCTCGGTGCAGCTCTCACCGCGAGCTGAACGGTTCTGCCAGACACTCCCCTCCTCCTCCTCCTCCTCCTCCTCCTCGCAGGTTTCACTAGTCGTGACAACAAGTCAGAGTGAAATCTGTCGTGTGACCTCATTGCTTCGGCATCTCTCCCCGTTTGTTTCGCCTCAGCCCGCGGGAACAGTCATGTTTCACCTGAGCGACACGATCTCATTCCACTATCCCGAGGTTACAGAAAATTAAGCAATGCGATTTGATAGAAAAATATCTTCAAAGTTAGTCAGCTTCTTCAGAGTAAAAGCCTGAAAACATACGGTAAGTCAGCAGACGCGTTAAAAGCAAAAAAAAAAAAAAAAAAAAAAAAAATATATATATATATACATACATAGGCTACATACACACACACACACACACACAAGACTAAAGAAGTGTGACAGCATAAACACTAATCATTTTCACAGTTGAATATTTCTGTAAAAGCAGCTTTATAGTATAGACTATAGTAGTAGTAACATTTTCGTTATAATCACAAAAAGTACTATTATTATAACAATTATTATTATTCTTATACAATAAAATTAATTGTAAAGAAAATAAATATTCGTGTCTCCATATAGATCTGAACTTACTACATAATATCCAACTATACTAAATCAATGAATAAACATAATTTTAACTTATAAATAAAAATAGAGGGAAGAAATCTGACTCAAGTGATGTAATCAGACTCCTTTGTGAGTAATAGTCAACATTCACCTGAATCCCATCTCAAAGTCTTATAATTTGATGTTTCACACTGTAATTATTGGATGAACACTGAAAGTACATATTTAACAAGTTTGTGGTCCAGACCAGACACAACTGGAATACAACTAGAAGAGAGCTGGAATTTGATGAGCAGTTTTAAAGGACAGTCATAGATATGCAACAAAAGAAATATTATAGAGGGAATACATTTAGTAATACGCTGGAAGACCAGATAATACTGATAAAAAAATCTAAATGTTTCCATTTATATCCGTATCTTTACATGTCTTTGTCATTCTTCTAGTATGTTTAGTTGTTAAATTGCATAAATTCTGTTAAATTGTATATTGCAAAAAATAAAATAAGATAAACATAATAGTAAATAATAGAAAATCCAAGTAACATTTGCCGTTTGTGTCTCTCATATGACTGTGTATATAACAATGCATCACACCCCTGTTATCAGGTTTTCTCTTTTAACGTCAATTAATTATGAATTGTATTGTTCTCATATGTGCAATGTCTGGAAGTTGAGTTGAGTTGAGTTGAACTATTCTATAAATCAATAAAACGTCATAAATCAGTGTCACTTTGTCATTCTTTCAAAGAGTAACGTTTTCAAGGACATACTTAATCACTTGTTTTTTAGAGGATGATTTTAAAATGGCATCAATGTTACCTTGATTTTGTAATAAACTAATAATTATTAAAAGTAGATATTTACAGACATATCAGCATCAAATTATAAGCACCTTGTAGTTTCAAAACCTTCGAGCTCAAGACTTGTAATAATGTCAAACTGAACTGTAAAAACTGTCTACCTGCTTACATCTCTTAAGATGTAATTATATTTGAAAAAGGCACCCATGGCCCATAAGACTCTCTGAGTAATATAAAAGTAACAGAACTGTTTATAGCAAGTTGTGTCAGTATTGTGTCTAAATGCGGCAATGTCTTCAGCTGGCTTCAAAGTGTATTTACATTTAGATTGTTTAATTTGTTAAGTGATAAATACAAAAAAAAAAAGTAATTCTTGAAAATTTGCCAGAGGCATTACACTCTGACAAACCCGGCCCTTCCTTTTAAAGATAGTTTCAGTGATATGTAAATAGCAATAGCGTGACAGTTGATATTAAGCAATAATTTTCCACAGATTGGCACGAATCAGTGATACTATACTCTGTGTGTGTCTATAGGGTGTGGATTTTGACTCCTTTTTGTAAAGCACAAAAAGGTTAAACTTTTAATGGAGTGCTTTTGTATGCTGTATATAAGGCAGGCTATAATCTGTTTTCCTGGTAGCGCACCAAAATATGTTTTTACATGAGTATGAGGAAATCTGTCCAGTGTTCTTAGGAACAGTGAAAATCCACGAACATGTGACATTAATGGATAACACAAGAAGCTTTTCACAAGAAATTAACCCAACCCCTGCGCATTGTTAATTCTCTATTCTTAAATGTGATTACTTTATCTGATGAATTTACTGCTCACACTTCATATTTTCAAAGAAACCTTGATAAACCCACTGCTATGATGAAACAGGAATCTATCATCTAAATGTCTATTTATATCTCTGACTTTTTAATTCTTGCATCAGATCAGTTATCAGATCATCAGTCTGTCATGATATGACTTTGCCTCACAAAACAAATCAGTCACAGCCTGTCTGCTATGATAAAAGTTGAGTTTGAAAAAACTAAAGATTTTAAAGCTCATGACAACATTGTTTCACATTACAGGATTTAAAAACAATGAACACAGCATTACAAGGAGCCTCAGTGAGTGTCACCCAGAACTATTTGTGTATAAAAGATGTTATCCTTTATTATAATTTGTGACAAATGCCATATAATTAGCGATTACTCAAAGACTTTGATGTCAAAAAACATTAAAAATGCCATTATTCATTTCACAATGTTAACTTTTCATACATGTTATCTGCTTTACATGCCGGAGCTTCTGATTGTGCAGCACCAACTGTTGGGAGAAAAAGTTCAAAAATTAATTTTGACACCACCTGGCATTATTAAAGAGTAATGAGATCAGTTAATGTATTGTTTGAATCATGTTTACACTTGCATTGTTTAAACAAACTGATGTTTAATTTCATCAATTCAAATAGGTTACATTTTCAGTGTAGCATGTGTATACAAATAATACTTTGCAGTAACTTACAGGTGATCATTGATCCTGTGTTTTGTTCAACTAAAGAATACAATGGGACATCAAACCCTGTCCAAAAAAAAAGACTGTAATCAATTACATCATTGTCATTATTTTATTTAATTTATTTATTTTACGTCTAAGCATTTAACATGAATGTCACTTACCTTCTGCAACATGGGAGTAATACACAGAGATCCGACTGTTTAACTGTGCTATAAGAGATAAGAAGAGACTTTACCATCATGCATAAAAGTTACATTGTTTAAACATGTTTCTTTCTGACATGAATCCTTAATCAATTTAGAATTTAATTTCTCCTTACGGACATATTAATGGCACATCTTTAAATTGCACAAGGATCTACTCTTAACTTCACTAATTTGAAGGAAACATCTTTAAAACGAGCAAATGATAGATCCGGTTTCCATTTGAGTAGCTGTTCAGTTAGAGTCAAGAATAGATATATAACAGGAAGTGCAATATACACATACAAACTATGTTCTGAGGAGACAACAGTCATCACTTCCTCTGTTGTTTCCAATAAGCCATTGCTCTGACAGTGACAACCCAATAGTGTTAAACATTTCAGGGCTACAGTTTCAGGACTTACTTTGGCTGTTGGTTTTGCGCCTTTGTTTTTTGAAATAAAGAATGACACAGATGGTCAGTGATATGAGGACACACAGAGACACTACTGTGGTCATCATCACTACTACTGTCAGATTAGTTGTCACTGTTTCACTCCCATCACTGTTATTTTCAGCCAGGCCAGCAAGACTGTCAGCAGAGGCTGAAACAACATATGTGATCAATTAAAGAAAAGCATATTCAAAATCTATCCATTTGATTAGGTTATTTTGATCAGACACATGCACATACATTATATACAATAGGTAGGCTACTTGTCTTACCTGTGGTTACCAATGTTGTGGAAAGTGTTTCTAATACCTTTGTGGAACGAGATGTATTATGAGCTATAATTAAAATGCATATAAAAATTAGAGTTAGATCTAAGGTGTACAAGCAAAATAGACTAACAATGATTATATTTTAAAGCTTTTTAAAGACTCATGGATATTTGATGCATGCTAAAGTGTTACTAACCTCTTCAGAAGACCTCCTCGTTACGCCAGTAGATGGCAACAAGGTGGCATTCACTTGAACAACTTGTTTAAAGGGGTCATATGATGCAATTTCAATTTTTCCTTTCTCTTTGGAGTGTTACAAGCTCTTGGTGCATAAAGAAGATCTGTAAAGTTGCAAAGACTAAAGTCTCAAATTCAAAGAAATATTCTTTATAAAAGTTCAGAGTCAGCCACACCTACCTAAAATGGCTCGTTCTAACACGTCCCCACATATCTACCTCACTATGTGGGTTTCGTTGTGAAAGCGAAAATACTTTGTTGGGTCTTCCAAAAGAGGACACGACTACAAATCAGTGGTTAAGTTTTATTAACAGCACTGTTCCAGAATAGTTTAACCCAAATATCCAGATGTGTGCAGCGCATTTTATGGAGGACTGTTTACTGATCCTGGGAGAGTAACGTTAGACTAAAATGCCGGCAGTTCTGACTCACGTAAGTACGTTTTCATT